CCCACACAAGCCAATTGCAGAACAATGCTAATGTGTTCATATCATTCAAATGTTTTTTTTTCTTTTTTTGGATATTTTATTTTTTCTTATTGTGGGGGATTGGTATAGGAGAAAGTCATTTTCTATTTTACTTGCAATGGAATTTCAAGTGTTACTTGTTCTGGTTTTTTCTCTTGTCATGACTCTTGTTTGCTGATGCTTATATCTATNCTAGACGTTTCCACAAACTCACTCGAAGGTCCAATCCCTGAAAATGTCTGCAAAGGTAACAGGCTCGTGAAACTCATACTCTTTCTCAACAAGTTCAGTCATACCCTTCCACCATCTCTTGGGAGCTGCACCTCACTCGCTAGGGTTCGAATCCAAAACAATTTCCTCAACGGTTCAATCCCCGAAGGCCTCACGCTCCTCCCTAACCTTACATTCCTAGATATCAGCAGCAACAACTTTCAGGGTCCAATTCCGGAACACTTAGGTAACTTGCAGTACTTCAACATCTCCGGAAACTCTTTCGGAACCTCCTTACCTGCGTCTATTTGGAATGCAACTAATCTCGCGATCTTCTCCGCGGCTTCGTCGAACATCACCGGTCAAATTCCAGATTTCATTGGGTGTCAGCAACTGTATAAGCTCGAATTGCAGGGAAATTTCATCAACGGTACGATTCCATGGGACATTGGACACTGCCAGAAGCTGATTTTACTCAATCTGAGTCGAAACTCACTCACCGGAATCATTCCCTGGGAAATCTCCACTCTCCCTTCCATCACCGACGTTGATCTCTCTCACAATTCCCTCACCGGAACCATTCCGTCGAACTTCAACAACTGCTCCACTCTCGAGAATTTCAACGTCAGTTTCAACTCCCTCACCGGTCCAATCCCATCGTCCGGAATCTTCCCGAACCTCCATCCTTCCTCCTACTCCGGGAACCAGGGCCTCTGCGGCGGGGTGTTGGCCAAACCCTGCGCTGCCGACGCCCTCGCCGCTACCGCCGATGATCAGGTCGACGTCCGCCGCCAGCAGCCGAAGCGAACAGCCGGTGCAATCGTGTGGATCGTGGCCGCCGCGTTCGGCATCGGGCTCTTCGTGCTGGTTGCCGGGACGCGGTGCTTCCATGCGAACTACAACCGGCGGTTCGGAGAGGAGGTCGGGCCGTGGAAGCTAACGGCGTTCCAGCGGCTGAATTTCACGGCGGACGACGTGCTGGAGTGCTTGTCGGTGTCCGATAAGATATTAGGAATGGGATCGACGGGAACAGTTTACCGCGCCGAAATGACAGGTGGAGATATCATAGCGGTTAAGAAGCTTTGGGGAAAACAAAAGGAGAATATCCGACGGAGGAGAGGCGTTCTGGCAGAGGTGGAGGTGTTGGGAAACGTGAGGCACAGGAATATCGTGAGGTTGTTAGGGTGCTGCAGCAATAAGGAGTGCACCATGCTGCTCTACGAGTACATGCCCAACGGCAACTTGGATGATTTATTGCATGCCAAAAACAAAGGTGATAATCTCGTCGCTGATTGGTTCACAAGGTACAAGATCGCCTTGGGCGTTGCTCAGGGAATCTCCTACCTCCACCACGACTGCGACCCCGTCATCGTCCATCGCGATCTCAAACCCAGTAACATTCTACTGGACGCCGAGATGGAGGCAAGAGTCGCCGATTTCGGCGTCGCCAAGTTGATTCAGACCGACGAATCCATGTCCGTCATTGCCGGATCCTACGGCTACATTGCTCCAGGTAACCAACCACCCACACCAACACCAGCTCCTACGTTTTCTTAATTTTTTTTTACTGTTCCAAACCATTCAGCTTACCTTAATTAATCAAAAGAAACAAAAGTTCATTTTTTGATTATCAAATTTACTAAGGTGGTCCATTGGGTGTGTGAAACCAAGTTTGAATGAAGAAAGCAAGCAAGTTAAGGTTAAGGTACGAGCATGAGAGGGACTTTTCCTGCCGAATTTCGGTGCATGGGTAGGCGCACTGTTACGCATGGAGGGAGAAGAAGGCTTTTCCTTTTTTGTTTAAATTTGTTAACTTTGGCGAGCTGATCTCGATGGGGTCCACGTCCACTCATAATATTGTCAATTATCATAACTCCTTTGAATGATGAGGATGTTGACTTGGGGTGCATGTATTTTAATGGTGTTTGTTTTGTAGTTGTCTGAATGAAGCATTAACTAACAGTACTTCTTCCTTGGTATGTGTTCCTCTGCAGAATATGCTTACACCCTTCAGGTGGATGAGAAGAGTGACATTTACAGCTATGGAGTGGTGTTGATGGAGATTCTGAGCGGAAAACGTTCTGTGGAAGCAGCATTTGGAGATGGGAACAGCATAGTGGATTGGGTGAGATCAAAGATAAAATCAAAAGATGGAATTGATGACATATTGGACAAAAATGCAGGAGCAGGTTGCAGTTCGGTGAGAGAAGAGATGATTCAGATGCTGAGAATTGCATTGCTTTGCACCAGTAAAAACCCTGCAGACAGACCTTCTATGAGGGATGTTGTGTTGATGCTGCAAGAGGCAAAGCCAAAGAGGAAATTGCAGAATAGTGTTGTAGGTGGATTTGGAGGGGACAATGTCGTTGCTGCTCCCGACATTCCCTTCCCACACAAGCCAATTGCAGAACAATGCTAATGTGTTCATATCATTCAAATGTTTTTTTTTCTTTTTTTGGATATTTTATTTTTTCTTATTGTGGGGGATTGGTATAGGAGAAAGTCATTTTCTATTTTACTTGCAATGGAATTTCAAGTGTTACTTGTTCTGGTTTTTTCTCTTGTCATGACTCTTGTTTGCTGATGCTTATATCTATATATATATATATTCGAGTCTCACCTATATTTCCACGTTTCTGCCTGATTTTCTTTCTAAATCAATCAATAAATAAGTGAAATTGTGTTATGAAACACAATATCATATATTTTTTAATAATAAAATAAATAAATAATTGACACCACAGAGTTGAACATTGCAACCTATTTTATAGTTTTTTTTATTCGATTTGGTTGGAATTATAATTTAATTCACAATTTAAGTTTAAAGTATTAAGATATGAGTGACTTTATTTTTTATATTTTTGTAAAGATAAAAAATGTGCATTGGAACTCTGCTTTTATCTTTTGAAAAACATTAAAATCGTATTTAAATACATTGGTTTTGAATAAAAATATATAAGAAAAAGCTAGATAAATTTCCATTTTAATTACGTCATGAGTGAAAATAATTAATAAATATTAAATTTTAATTTTTGTATATAGAATGTAATTTTTTTTATTGTGTACTTTGAACACTTTCTATTTTCTTTTGAAATCTCAACAAAGTTTTTCTTTTAAGGTGTTGCCTTCAACTACTCCATGTCATAAAATGGTTAAAAAGATATGTATCTAAGTTTCATGCAAAAAACAATCAAAATAAATGTGAAAAATAACACAATTTAATTATATAATTACATTTTGAAGCTAAATTTTGTGATTAGACATCTCATAACACGTTGTGAACTCAATTATTATGGTAAGAGAGATTGTAAAAGTTTTTTAACCATTTTCCATTAAATAACATACTTAGAAATACATATTTTGATAAAATTTTCATATTATCTTAATATTTAACAAGGTTGAGGTTAGTATACTTGGTGATCTCAAGTTTATCCGATTTTCAATCTGTGAGCATGTGATTTTTGTTATTTATAACATGACATATTTGACTATTTTGAAATTATTCAATTATGGTTTAGTCAAATATCTTATAGAAATGACAATTGGGATGATTTGTGTTATTTGACCCACATCTTGGGAATAATTTCTTTAGTTTATTTCGCATAATATTTAATTTATAGGTTCACAGACCGACCCACATAAAAAAAATACTTATTTATAGTTTTGTCTTTCAGTTATAATATGTAAAGATAATTTTTTAATTTATAATAATATAATTTATGAGTAACTTTTAAGGAAGTAATACAACAAATAAAATTCTATTCATAATCATTAATAAAAATGAAGGTTAAATATATTTAAAATTTTTTAAACTTAAATACAAAATTAAAATTCATGTTTTAAATTTTAATATATTTTGATTTTTAAATTAAAAAAATAATGTCATTCTAATCAAATTAGGTTATTTGTTTTATATGTCAATCACGTTTTAGATTGATGTTTAAATTATTATATTTTTTGACACATTTTAATTAAAATATTATTTTGAAGCATCGTGTAATTAAAAAAAATAATATTTTAGATTAATGTTTAAATTATTATACTTTTGACACATTTTAATTAAAATATCATTTTGAAACATCGTGTAATAAAAAATAATTAATACCGTTAAGTTAAAAATGATTATATTTAGGATGTATTACCAATAATGTGATACTTGAATCTGTCTTCAAAGGGGAGTGCAAATAAGAAGGGCTTTCACTTCATGCATTTCCCTCAATTTCTTCACGCACCCCTACAAATTTTCAAAATATCATTTTATCGTTTGAAAAAGGGATTTCCGAAATATATATTCTAAAAACTCTCCGGAACATACTTTTTGGAACCTTTGATCAAAGTTTCCAGAATAAAATTTTCGAGACGTTGTTTCCATAATCAGATTTCTGAAAAGGAATTTTTGGAATTAAATTTCCTGAATATTTAAAATATATTCTTATTTCTGAAATAAATTTTCTGAAATATATAATACCTTCCGAAACCTATTTTTTTGAAACACTCTACATGGAATATACTTTGAAAAAAAATTTCAGAATACAAAAATACGGGAAAACTTTTTTTTTTCTTTTCTTCGTATGCAGCGTCGTCCTCCTTTTCCTCTTTCTCAGGAACGACAATGGCAGTGAAGTGATGGAGGGTATATCAGTCTTCTCGTATTATTATAGTGTTGCAGTTAGTAATGGTAGATACACAGAAGCAATAGCTGATAAGAAGTTGTAGAGAGAAAGCCCAGTCCAGCCCAACTCCTTTTTTCCTTCCCGCCATTAAGTTTTGCTTCCATTAATTTCTCTTGCTTTTGTTGCATTGATCCTAAGGGGTGAGTTTTCTTCGCTCCCACTTCAGTTCCCTTGAATTCAATGAACTTGAGCTGAGTGACAGCATTAGCCATCGTTTGCATAGCATAGCAAGAATGAAACGGGGAAGAGGAGAGAGCATGGGAGAATCCAGTTCTAGGGTTTCTCCAACTCTTCAGAACCCCACAGCAGGCATCATCAAGCGACTTCGTCTCGAGAACTTCATGTGTCACTCCAAACACGAGACTGAGTTCGGAAACCATGTGAATTTCATCACGGGTCAAAACGGAAGTCAGTTCCTTTTTTTTAGTAGACATGTGTTATATTTTCTTCTTATGAATTCAGAATTTAGTGTTTGGGAATTTTGTGTCATGTATAAAGGAAAAATATTTACTGTTTGTTTCGTTTGGGGTTTTAGGTGGTAAGAGTGCAATCCTAACTGCACTGTGTGTTGCATTTGGCTGTCGGGCCAAAGGAACTCAAAGAGCATCCACTTTGAAGGATTTCATTAAAAATGGTGCCAGGTAAGTGTGCTATTTTTTCTTTTTATCTCTTTGTATGATGACTTTTCATTACCTCCAATATGGTATTTCTGGATGAGGAATTTGACTTCAGATGGATAACACCACTGGGGTTCCGAATGAGTTTTCTACAAGGATATTATTCTTAGTAAGAGAATGGGTTGGGATAGAATATTCATCTTTGTAAAACTTTCCGAGAAAAAGAAAGAGAAACTATTGACGTGAATTGATTACAATTTGGTGGTACATTAAACTTGCCATTCGAATTGTGTGACTATAACTAACTCATAACTCCTGACTTTTCTCGTAACTGAATTCGTCAATGCTAGTTTTAGTTAGTAAAATAGAAGGTAGGTTCTAGATTCTAGGTGCAGTGCATTAGTCTCCTATAGTTCAAAAGTCCTGCAGGACCAAACACCTTGAACTTAGACAGAAGAATTTCAAAACCTGAAGGAGAGAGAGAGAACCTTGGTAAACTGATAAACACACTGGGAAAAAGGCTGAAATATGTTAAACTTAAGTTGTTTGTTGAGAACTTTCACATGAACATAAAAGAGATTCAACTCCATGTGTGTAGTGTGTGCATGATGTACAGAATTGTGGACGATGGAACAATGCTCATGTTGTTGCACAATACCAGAGGAGCAATGTTTTGGACTTCGAGTTTAGGGGGAAGGTTTGCACCTAGAGAAGTTCTTCCATGACATGAGCAAATTAGGCAGGTGGGGGTTGGGAATGGTATCTGAGATGACTTTCCAATAGTAATGTTAATTTTGAAAAATCATTCTTAGGGGTTTATAAAGAGTTTAAAATATTTGTTGGAGGAATTTTTTGTCGTCAATTTTCTTGGAGATTGGAGATTAGATGTGAGAAGATCATTGAAGCAGCTGGTGAAGGAGTGATAATTAGATTTCAGAGCTGAGCCTTTGGTGGTCATTGTGGATCATGCCTAAGATCTTGCTACCATGTCAAACTTTTAGAGAATGAGTGAAAAAGTGAAAGGTTCGTGATTCTAAGTTCAGTACATTGGTCTCTTATAATAGGGAGGACCCTGAATTATTGAGACTCTTGCATCCAAACTAGATGATAAATGAATGGAGCTAAATTCTAAAGTGTGGTTTGAGTCTAGTGCTAATCAACATTTTTGTCTTTATAGTTTATTTGTAATTTTTAAATAATAAAATTTGTGAAGTGGTTTATAGTTATATTATGGGTGAATTAGCATACCTTGTTTTATCTTGTTTTGTTCATACTGCTGATAGAATGGCTAGTGTACCCAATAAAGTGTTTTCATGAAATTCTATTTTCTCTTTGTAGTAATGCTGTCATCCAAGTTGAAATTCAAAATGAAGGAGAGGATGCTTTCAAGCCTGAAATATATGGTCGTGTTATCAATGTAGAACGTCGGATATCTGAATCCGCAAGTTCTACTACATTAAAAGATCACCTAGGTGTGCTTCCCTATGTTTCTTGTTTTTTCCAGTACTAAGCCTATTACTGCTATAATGTTTTAGTTTGCAACAGATTAATTTTCATGAGATATAGGTCCCACTTGTTCTCTTATAATTTTCTTTGAGATACAGGGCCCATGTTTGTAAGTTTTCCTGATCTAAAACAAGCAGAAATTACTTGTTTTAGGGGATTGATTCTCATGATCAAGACCAGAAAACCATCTTTGTTTGCTTAGTTTCCTGATTTATTGGTATAATTTTAGGATACTAAAATTATATTTCTTCTTCTTGATTGATTAGAATTACACTTGCTTTATATTGGAAGAGATGACTAAGAGAGATCCTAACCATCTGATTACAGAATAAATATAAGGATAAGACAGGGAAAAAATAAATGATAATAAAATAAAGTCATATTTGAATAACCCTGTCATGATCTTATATCTAAATCTTTAGAATAAAGGAGAATGAAATACATTCGGATCTGAATGATCTTGGCTTCCTACATCTTCCAGAATCCTTAATTGAACTTAAGTTTAACGTAACAGACAAATAAAATGGTCATTCCCCTCGTGTTAATTCATGGATGTCCAAGATGCCCCACTTGCTGGTAAAGAATTTAGGATTAAATCTGGAGAATCCTTGTGTAAGAATCATTGTCACTTGCTACGGAGTGGAAAAGAACGACGTACAAATTAGGCCTACATCCGACCTCTCTTTTATAAAATATTTGTCAATTTCAATTTGCTTTGTTTGATCATGTTCAATTGGGTTTAGGAAAATGCTAATTGAAGCCTTGTTATCTCGGCAGGACTTCATGGGAGAGTCGTACTAAGTTGTAATTAGATTCTTGAATAATAAAATTACCCAACCTTTTTGGGCCATTGCCTTATATTCATGATTTCAACTACTTCTAGCCACAATGTTTTGTTTTTTTCAT